AGTTAAAAGTATGCGGAAAACAACATAAAAAATAAAAACGATCTTGCTTACAGCTAACAGGCTTTCAGTGAGCTGATCGTATAAATATAATAATTAGGCGTTGTAATGTGTTGTATTCGGCACATGGGAAAAAGTCCTTTTTGTATAGCAAGACAACTTTGTCTCTGTTAATAAAAGGATTAGGTGGAGAAATTGAAGGAGTATTAATTGCATTGGAGGTGAAAGCTGGTTATCCTATGTAGTTATTGTGATTTTACTATGCTCTAATTAAGCTCATTATCTAAAGTTTATCCCTAAGTGAATATATTTAAGAATTAAGAACTTTAATAATATCCCAATACAAGAACTGAGCAAGTCGGACGGAGATCGATTAGGCTCCACTGGAAGAATTAAAAGAGATCAGGCGAACTACCTTGAAGAGTTTGACTGAACAGGGCATATCACCCCTTGTCCATGTGGAATATTTGTGTCTATAGCCAATAAATCAACCCTACCAGGCGAACAATATCCTCAAAATTGGCATTTGCCCTCAAAAGAAACTAACCTATTTGGAGCACTCCGTCGTATGAAGAACTCGCCTTTAATTGGCGGCATATGTCTTTGGAAGAACTCGCCTCAAATAGAGGGATCATATACGCCAATGTGGTAGGAGATGATCATCCACCACAAACAATAACAACTTCTTTTCACCATTGCTACCAGTGTTCTCAATAAAAATTCTCAACTCGCGAATGGCCCTCCTTGGAGGCCCTCGCAACGTATTCGTTCGGAGGAGCTCCTGGAGGTACATGGCCCTGAAGTACTTCACTGCAGGAGTCATAGGGCACTTTAGAATGTTTTCCGATTAACCCCTCAGGGTCTTGTCATATGCCCGTAAATCAAAATCATGTATTATTTTAAAAACCTCTGGAGTAGCTCCTCCTATAGGCCTTTATAACTTATAAAATACATTGTTGACGATGACATTTTTTGGACTTATGACAATTTCTATCACAAGAGAGGATGTAGATCTTCCACGGTTTTCCTTCTCGCTCGCCTACATTTGTTTCCTTTCTTGCTCGAAATAGCCTTTGCTAGTTTTTTAAGAGTAGTGTCAAAGTATTTCCATTAACAAATTTTGAATCCAACATTCTTAGGTGTGGTGCTTGCATTGATGTCATTGACTAAAAGCCTAGACTAATGGAAGCCGGCAAAGTAGTAAGGCGAGAATGACCATGAATATTGGAGATTTGGAGACTTCATCGCTAATAGTCAACTCGCCTTAAAGTTTCATTAAATAGCTTGGGAGGAACTTGCGACCAATATACTTGACTCCTCTAAAGATTAAACTCGCCAAGTGAAAAATCAACTTAGTGAAATCCTAAAGAAAGAGTTCAACAACCAATAGATTCAAGCTTGAAAATCGATTAAATTGATTCCTATGAGAATTTTTTTCTTATTTCTTCTCATTTGTATGTCACCACATGAATTCATTATATATTCTTAAAAGATCGAGGATTGTTCGCAAAACATGGTTGGCGCCTCCTAGGGACTATGTTCACAAACCACCATGTTAGCTGTACTTCAACGTATACAAGGACTCCCCTACTTACTTGCCAGCGTCAACCAATGAATTTTTATTTGTGAGACAGGGAAAGAATGCAGTTGTACTTTAGATTTCAAGATCTGAAAAATTATGGAAAAGTGAACTATCATTGAGTCATCTTCTCTTATAAGTTCGGCATAGAAATGCCGACCTAGAAGACAAAGTAACTTCGAGCACAAAGTAGAATAAATATCATTTTAAGCTATTTGTATCATCACTGTTTGTAGTCTAAAGAATCTAATATCAATCGCTATGTGTGAGAGGTTCTTGGGAGTCCTCCCTACGTTCAACTCCACTAATGTGATTCAGTTTCAGATGTTTTCTTGACTCTAGGGTTTTAGTTTGATCTGGCTGTTACATCTTACCCTCCAATATTAATTCAATTTATGAGCTTGAAGCCCTTGTTGGGCCTTTTCGGGAATTTCTGGCCATACCATTCCTGTGATATTTTAGGAGGTCTCCAGTCAAAGAGGAGCCTTTTCCAATTCATTTATGAGCCTCTCATCTCTTACGAACCCGGGCTTAGTTCAATTGTAGAAATCT